CAAGTTCATTCGCAACCTCGACCACAACCTTATCCATCGCGTAACCACATAACTTCACGGAATACGTCGATCAACAATCACACACGACTCCCTATAGATCATGATGCCGCTCTACGCGCTAGTCTCACAACATTACTCTCTTGTGCAGCTGCGGCAAGAGGTCTTCCCAAGTCTCCCGCTCAAAACGCCACCAGTAATGAACCAATGGGACTCCGAATAGTTCCCGAATCAGAACTCATTGGTACGGCACCTCCTACTACAGCTAATATATCACGACCCTTATCTTCAAGTCGTTCAAGGAGTGGATCATCACAAGACTCGCAAGATGAAGCCATCAAACGCAAAGCTAGTCAAACAAAACAAAACACTCGAGCTCTCAAGAAGAAGAAGGGAGAACTGGTGCAAGGCGAGGAGGCGTTTATTTCGCCTACCCTACTGACTTGGGTTATGAGTGCAGGCGTAGTCGTTCTCGTCTCAGTAGTTGGATTTGGTGCAGGATACGTCATTGGTCGAGAAGTAGGAAGGCAAGAAGCATCGGTCCTCGGGGGATGGAATGGCTCTATGAGTGATGGTAGCTGCGGAAGAGAAGTGGTTAGAAGCGGGACTGGCGGATTGAAGAGATTCAAATGGGGTGGCAGTGTTGCTAGGAGTATTGTTGCTTGAAGTCGTACACGATAACTTACGAGCGTTTGAGCTTGATTTGGGCTGAATTTTAGGTGGTCATTTTGATGAGATATCACGAGCGTGTTTTATTGATAGGGTCTAATTACCAAGCGTAACTCTTTGGAGACCCTTTGGCGTTGGTCCACGGGCATTGGGCTACATATACTTTTCATATTCACATAACATTCTGGAGGTGTTCTGTTTGTTTCGACGCGTACTTTTGTTTAATACACATCTAGCGGGAGGATATGATATGATATGACATTCACATATGATTAGGGGAGGAGGGTGGATTGAGAAGATAAAATTGAGATTTGGGTCTGGGTTAATGGATTAGGATAAATGAATTAAGATATTTCTCGAGGAACGTGCTTTAATTTCTTGCTATTGTGGAAGTGAACATATTCATACTCAAATCTGCGCCCATGAATCATTATGCAGTGTTGATTCGTATGATAGAAACCAAATGATAGTTTTCGGGCCCAAAAATTGGTTTCTAGTTGAATAAAGTATGAGTGTGCGGGTGTTCCCACCAAGGTAATCGGCGCTCGGGTGGGCAGGGGGAAGAAAGTGTATGACAATTCAACGAATGAATTGAAATCTAGAGCGAGGTAGGATAGGTAATTTATGACAACTGAGGTAATCTATGCGGTAATCTATGCAATTTCTACTGATGAAGCTGGAGTGAAGAAAGATCCATGTACAGGTAAGACGTGAATTATCATCATGTTAGAACATACATTCGAACTAAAATTCCAGTAAAATAAATCAATACATTAGTTTCGCATATTGGATAGCATTCTAGTTATGAATATTTGAACCTGGGGCCAACAACTTGTGTCTCGATGTCAGTGAAAATGGAAAAGGTTAATAGAAGGAGAGGGTCCTGGGGAATAGCTCGTGTATAGAACACTGTCACGCGACGGAAGCGATTGAAGTGATTTAGGTAATACAAGCTAATTAGTACTCACGCACCAAACGACGAATTTGACTAGCACTATTTTGATCAAGCTATACAGATCTCAGATTATCAGCTAGAGTATTTCAGTATGTATTTTATGATCTCATGAGTATCATAATTCAACTTGGTTCTCCAGTTTCGCTTAAGTGACATTACTCTGACTTGCAGATGCTACTAGCATCGTTTACGATGAGTCTATAATAAAAAGTGATTGCAAGTCGCTATAAAGAATGACAGTCTTCTGTAGCTTTCGTTCTTCAACGATATCACCCACCCCAGCCCCCAGTCCACTTTCACCATACTAAATCAAGCACCAAAGCTTCTTAGGATTCGAACGGAGACCGAAGCAGCGAGTACTGCTACAACAGAGATTGACAAAGCAATAGCGATCATCAGGCACTGGTTGGGACATGATTCTCTGCCCAGGGCTCCCTAGTTGCGGGGATTTCCAACATGATGGAAATTCGAAAAGAAGCCTTGAGGAATAACAGAGGTGTATTTATGAAACGCGAAAATGAAGTTAAGAAAATGGAGAGCTTCAGCAAATCAAATTGTCTATTATGAAGGTTGCATTTCTCACAATACATCCGCGTTTTATCAGAGGAGGCTTCGCAATCGCTTCTGTCTTTTCCATGGAGTCCATGGTTCTTTTCTCATATCCTTAGAGTTAGGATTCTTGAACGCGCCGTGAATTGGATTAATATGTGCGCAGCATTCGCTCGAAATGTAACCGCAAAAGACCGATTTTCAATCAGTGAACAAGATCTCAAGGACATCGAGTCCTTTCATATTCCGAGTCTAGTATATGGTCATCGATTTCGAAAATAAGCCGTAAAATCTGCATCAAACGGGCAGCATTAATGGTAAGTAATATTCATTATAATATACTGTCAATCAACTTGATTATATTTCCACTCGGAAATGGCAATCTCTTGGCGCTCAAGCTCCTTGTCATTAGGTATAGTCTTCATATTTAAGGGATATTCCATACCAGTGAATTTGGAGCTTGACTGATGACTGGGTTGAAGTTGAGTCCTTAAGCTTGTCTGGTGAAAGTCAGGCTTTACATCAGCGAAATAATAGGCGGGAATTGATTAACATTTGAAAGAACTTCAACAATTCGAATCTCTTTTTTATACAATATTAAAATTAAAAGAGGCTACTCATCGATATGAAGAAGGCTGAGATTTATATAGAGCTTTTTTTTTAGGTTTTAATAGTTATTAAAAATTCAATAAATAAATGATATTGAGATAGGTTCAAGAAGGTCAATTTCCGACCTGGTGGACTGTTTTTTCGCTTACGTAAGTAGACTCGAGGTAGAGTCAGCTCGAGGTCAGCTCGTCAGGTACATACTTCCGGGGGATTTGTTCTTCCGTCTTCCGATCCCCAGTTTCTTCCCCATGAACAAACATTAACTTCCATCTCCACATTTACTAATTGTCCCCTTTGAATTTCAATTGACTCAATTACTTCAAAAATGTCTATTCAAAAGAGAGCCCCTCTTGGTCGCGTTCTTGTGATCGGCGGCTGCGGTTTTCTAGGCCACCACATTGTATCCCTCCTCCATGATCGATACAATTGCACAATCTCCGTTCTTGACCTGCGTACAAATCGAAATCGACATTCATCAGGAGAGGTTACCTACCATGATGGCGATATAACCTCTATCGAATCTCTTCTCTCAATATTCAACTCCGTCAAGCCAGATGTCGTTATTCACACAGCATCGCCTGTTGCAATTACTGGAACGAAAGAATTATTTCACAAAGTCAATGTAGAAGGAACGAAGTGTGTAGTTGAGGCGTGTCAAAAGACTGGAGTGAAAGCTTTAGTTTTTACAAGCAGTGCCAGTATCATCTCAGATAACACAACCGATTTGGTTAATGCAGATGAGAGGTGGCCCGTCATACCCGAGAAATTACAACGGGAATATTATTCATGGACGAAGGTATGGTCTCTCAATTCCTCCCATTTCTTTACCCAGCTGTGCCAATTTCACTCTCAAATTCCCATACTAATATAATGGCACGAACAGGCAGAAGCAGAAGCTATAGTTTTAGCCGCAAACCGCGCACCAGAATCTCCCCAACTCCTGACCGCCTCCATTCGTCCCTCTGGCATCTTCGGTCCTGGAGACGTTCAATTAATACCCGGCCTCCTTAATGTTCACTACACCAATCGCACTGGTTTTCAACTAGGCGATAATACCAACCTCTTCGATTTTACATTTGTCAAAAATGTTGCACACGCGCATCTCCTTGCCGCCGCTGCCTTACTAGCAACTGCTAAGCTCAACACAACTCCATTAGATATTGAGCGTGTAGATGGTGAAGCATTTTTCATCACCAATGGATCACCCGTTCCGTTCTGGGATATGGCACGAGCAGTATGGGCAGCCGCGGGATCCACAAAAGGAACAGAACATGTGTGGGTTATTGGAAAGGACTTTGGATTAGGATTAGCAGGATTTGTGGAGGGACTATTCTGGATTGTTGGAAAGACACCAAATCTAACAAAAATGAAGGTTCAGTTCAGTTGTATGACAAGATACTACAGCATTGATAAGGCGAGGAGAAGGTTAGGGTACCAACCATTGGTTCCGCTGGATGAGGGTATCAAGATTACGGTGAAGCATTTTGAGGAAGAAAGGGCGAGAGAAGGAGAGAAAAAGAGCCAATGAGGTATTGAAGTGCTGGCAGATTCATTTATACTTCAGACATTTTGGGCATGTATTCTTACATAATAACTCTGATATTACAACTTGTAATTATTTGAAAAGCTTAATCAAGACCGAGAGATACCCTCAGTCATTTATCCTTAGTTGTCATAGACCATAATTCACATCGATGTTATATATCTGACGCTGATGCTAAACTAGATGTCTTGCTATTGCTGCTCTACTTGGTTTTAAAAAATAACATATCCTGCAAACTCCCCAACTCAAGATTACTCTGCAGGCATACACGAGACATGCGATCGCAAGCCCGTAACATGGCCGATTTGATCAAATCATGTACCGCTAAAGAAAATCAGAAGACAAATTTCAAATGTCTGGGCTTGAGTGAAGCTTGAGAGCGCATTGCGGGTTAATAGAATCAGGTAGAAATGTATACACATGGTAGACATGAAGAGTAAAAGCAAGCTTAAGAGGGAAGATAGTGATAGCGGACGAAGTCCTACGTATGGTGCAATATTTGGAAATTCAGGATTTGATATTGAATTCTACGGCAGACATACTAGGTAAGATTACTAGGTAGGTAGGTCATCTGACATTGGTCATGATTGTTGAGACTTACAAGTAAGTAAATATACATCACTCGAGTTCCAAACCACATTCTGAATTTTGAATTATGAATTACTAGTGAAACTTCATGGGATGATTGAGAATCTGTGTATATGAAGGTAGGTTAGATAGGTTAGGTAGTAAAAGAAAAGTATCTACGTAGGTATACCACGGTATCTGCGCGTACAAAAAGATCCCTCGACCCGGATTGGACGTACCCCCTCGCTAACCTAAACCCCACTGCAATACTGATCGATATTCTCCTTTCATTTCTAGCGCAACCCCCTTCCTCACCACTAGTAAGATTACAATAATGTGGTCTTACTGCCTTGTTTTAATGTAACTCATTAAGCAGCATTAGCTAGCACGTCGACCATACTCCAGATCATCGGTGAGTATTCTCCTGTCTGTGATATATCTGGTCCCTACCTTTTGACTGTGTTGCCTTACACTTTCTCTCTCTATGTTTCTTTCTCCCATAGTTTTGCTATCTCTGGCGCGGTATCAGACTCATGGATATGGTTTTCGTTATATGACTATAAATCCGATTGGATCTTTGACAGTTCTGTCTCCCTTAATTCGTAAGCTGTGACACATGTTTCGATGTGTTTTCAGATTCTTTTCCCATCGCACTCTGGACCTCTTGATTGAGATTATCTATGAGCGTAAACGACGATGTCAACAAGGATCTTTTTACCGAGTGAAGAAGATAGGAAGGGCTCAATAGAAATCAGCTAGACGGATTAAATCTTGGAGTTCGCGGAATGAATCGAGAGGGATAACTTGATGATACAAGGGTTAATAAATTCTGGAAGACGAGAGATGCAGCGGAAACGTAGCATTAGATGAATTGTACTGCTTGAAGCATCGATATGATCGTTGATCAAATCTTGGTTTTCATGAGACGGTGCAAAATGACTTGATAACTAAACGGTCAAATCATGAAATTGTGCATATGGACAGAGAAAAATATTCCTAGTTTGAGGGAAGTTGGGTGGACTTTTCATGGTTTATCTGTGCTACCTCCCTTGGTGTTCTGGTGTACTGGGGTACTTGGATGGAATAGTCTGGTATTTCAAGGAGAGACCTCTCTAGTTTCTTCCTTCCAATAGGCTTCGAGATGTGCTGGCACAATATTTCAAGAGGAGAGTCTCAAACTATACCACTGGTATTTAAAGATTGAGGAGATTATCATTCTTTCTTGACCTGGGACCCAGAGAATGGACAAGAAGCTGGGGCTTGCTTCATTTTCTCATCCTCGGTGGGCGTCTTTTCGCCACTCCCTTCGCCTTCGGCTTCCGACTTATCCTCTCCATCAATGACTTTCTTCCCCTTCAACCAGCCTTCCCTCTCCACCATCACCTCCTCCATCTCCCCAGCAAACTCATCACCATCTCTCACATACCATTTTGCAAAAAGATCGTTTTGAATCCACAACACTTTCCCAATCGCTTTCACCATCGCTATCTTTTTCTCCATCCTCAATTTCGGGTGCGAGAGGACCGCCTCGAAAATAATATCCTGCACAAAACCCAAGCAAACTCCTATGTGTACATATTCCACATGAAGAGGATGTCTTCGACCACGTCCTACGTGCATCATCCCGACTTTGTCGAGGTACTCCCAGAATTCCATTTGGCTTGGATCCGAACAGAGTTTCTGGAGATAGCCTCTCAGAAACTAGAGAACATGTCAGCCTAATCGACAAACTGTATGGTAATACAGGTTTACAAACCATCTTCCTGTGTAAGATTTGAGGACTGTTCTCATCCGGCAGTTCGTCTAGCGGACCCTCATAGCTTGTGCTGCGAGAGGTAAAAGCACGTGATGTAATATCATATTGAAGAAGTTTTCTGTATACGATATTCACGACGGCTGGTATGAGTTGTTTGATGTATTTTGAGCCATAAATGAGGGCCTCTATGTCTCCTATTTCGAAAGTTTGAGCAGATTTCAAGAGGAATGGAGTGTTTTGTACTCACGTGAACTGAAGTCAAGAAAAGAGTGTAGATAATGGATTCGTGTTTCTAGATCTGTGTAAAGCTCCTTTCGATCTATATGTAGTCTAGATCTTGAATCCATGATTGTGTGTCGTAAAATGTGTGTAGACGTGGAATTAAATAGCAATCATGAATATATAGGAGACTAGATAGTTTGAGAAATACAGACATCTTGGGTAGCAATGGAGTTCATATGCGCTCCAGACTAATCACGTAGGATGATGAATATCAGCCCATCGGAGCATTGCGATTTCAAAATGATTGAAGACTTGAGTATTGGGCATTATGATGGCAGTCAATTATCTCGCTATGTTGTCAGAGTGGTTCGTTTTTTGCTTTGGATCAGATCATGTTGGGGTGATGTGATTCTTGGGTAGAAATTCACGTGATACAACTGTACATTACCAGCCAATTACAATGATTAGTTACCAACTCACCTCAGTTCATCCGCTTTCCTTAATCACATCTTCTTCCTCTCTTTCAAATATGCGTTTTCCGTTTGGTCGATTTGGCGACATTATGGAATCGATTGGAGGGTAAGGCTATAAGCTCAATGTCATGAGTGATAAAGTCACGTTGGGTTCAGAGCTTTTGGCAAGACAAGATGACACTCGGAAATGAAACCTACGAGGGGTCAAAGTCCAACTTCCACCGTTCGATGCCATATCTCAGATATGATCTTCTCTCATTAGAACCTGGACCGTGACCTCGGGGGGATTTATGTCTTGGGCTTCGTATTCAGAACCTTATAGAGACCTCCCGCTCCCCAGAACTTTGCGCAGCTCCCAATATAATCATGCATACTTTGAGATGCTGTACCTCATAATACAATATATCAGCACAGCCTAGGTAGCGTTGCTTTTGTAGGTATCTACTGTAAGCACAAAATCAACAGAGCACACTACCAAACTATCGGTATACTTCGGCGAACACAGCGCTTCTACATTTGATGATATCCAATGAGAGACACCCTTACATTTTGAAAATCATGGGAGTGAAACGCGGAGTAAGAAATAGTTGCTGCGCTTCTGTGCCGGGATGCGGTTATATATGTAATTAGAGGGGTAGGTGTCATGGGTATCCATGGATGCATTTTTTACATCTCGATTAGGTGGTCATAAAGATGCGCGGAGTATGGTGGATTGCATTGGTAAGATTGAGTGCTGTGCTTATTTTGACGAGAGGAAGATGCGTCTATTCTATGAATTGATTTCGTTTATATTTCATATTGGCTTTCGTTAGTCTGTGTACTCGTATAGGTATCTAGAAGTGCGACTTCTGGTTGTAAATATGAAGCAAGCAGTGGAATTCCATACGAAAGTAAGCCATCTGCCACAAATTGGACTGCCCGGTGTTCCCAGGTCCACGTTACATCAGAGGCTAAGATATATTGTGCCACATTACCTACCAAGGAACATTTTAAAAAGGGGGGACTGCCCAGGTCCACGTTACATCAGAGGCTGAGATATATTGTGCCACATTACCTACCAAGGAACATTTTAAAAAGGGGGGACTGCCCAGGTGAGCCAATATTATTTTTGGGAAAATTCCACAGCCAATCATTTTCTCGTGCATTAAGCGCCATGGTTACTCGATGTAGACTAGCTGTACCTGAATCTGGCGATTATTTCCGCTCAGCCATTTTTCTCTGAGCGCGGGGGATCTCTTCCGATCGAACATGCTCCCATCGACTGAGGGTTGATCAATGTTCGGGCTGTGCTCTTATTCAATTCAACGGCAGATGTCCAAATCGATGACAGGAAGTTAGACGTGGTTAGGTTATCCATTACCCTCGATCACATCAATACTCTTTCCTCTAGAGATCCATCGGCAACTGCTTGATGAATGTCGGATAAATTTGTATTTATTGCGGCACTGCACTGTATATGCAGGATATCCAATGGCCACCCATGTAAGAATCTGTAGAGTCGCATCGAGGCAAGAACTCTCAACATGGGATATCAAAAAGTAAGTAGTGGCACAATGCTGTGCTGTGCCATACCAACGACCTACCGAGAGACCTTTTACCTTTTACCCAGGTATATATTAGATATTTGTCTCATGAGCCATAATCATAGCCTTACTCGGCCTTGGATTTTTCCTCATTTTTATTTACATACCTACCTAGGTATTTACAATTAGAAAATTCTGACCTCATTTTGCTGAATTTTATTGTTGGTCCAAGGTTTGGTCTTTGGTCCATGGAGGCGTCTGACTCAATATATTCATGAGTGACAGTCTAGGGGATAGGACTCATTATATTTTACATTTGAACCATACTCATACCTACTCCGCATGCTTTGGTTATTGGAGATTCACTTTTGAGGAGATTGAAAGAACAGGAAAAGCCTTGGAGAAGCACTGCCTGATTTGATCGATCAATCAAGGTCGGTTAGTACATGATTTCTCAATTCACCTTTCTATTCATTCAACTTTGATATCATCAGTCATATCGGTTCAACTCAACACACAAATATTTTGGAAAAGTCATCCATGTAGTCACACACTTATATTAACAACTTTTGAAATCTTCAATTCTTCTTTGATTCTGTTTGAGATTCTAAGGTTATTCAAGACTTTATTTCATATTTGTTTGATTTCTTCTTTCAATTACTCGCTATCTTCTCCGTCAAGTCTGCAAGATGTATCTCAATGTTGATGCTCAAAACTTCAATCAATCCCTTTTCATACGAGAGTCTCGAGAATGTGCTCAAGGACAACTGTGGTATGTTTGCAACGCGAATGATTTCCATGGCTGCTGTTCTGTAGATGCATGTTCAGTATCAGAATGTCCGGATTCAAATACCGCTGCAGTTGGCGCATCGAGTACTTCAACTACTTCTACCCCTTCTTCTAAATCTAGATCCTCTACATCTTCCACACCTTCTACTTCTTCTTCTTCTACTACATCAACCACATCATCTCAAACTACCAAATCCTCACAATCAATCCTACAGACAAATCCACGGACAACCCCGCAGACAACCCCGCAGACACTCTCACCAAGCACCATCCTCCTGACTACAACTGTCAACCATCCAGTCAGTGCACCTACACAAGCCATATCCAGCTCCCCCACCACTGTCGCACAAACTACTCCTCGCACCTCGTCATCAAATTCAACACCAATCATAGCTGGAGCAGTCGTTGGCAGTGTCGCTTTAATTTGTTTCGCAATGGCTGCATTCTGTTGTTTCCGTTTTCGCCAAAAGAAAAAGCAGGATAGAGAAAGGATGTTTGCCGATCGTGAAAGTCCAGATCCAGAGACTATTCAGTTTTATAGTACGACGGGAAAGACGCTACAAACACCTAGTAGTACGAGCACAAGAAGTCCTGGATTTTCTGGATTGGGATTGGGGGATGTCTTCGCACCGTTTGGTGGAAGTAAGTTATTTAGTTTCATTTGTCGCATTTTCTCTTATGATGCCTCGGTGGTGATATGAATGCTAACCATTTCCTTCCAAAATAGGAACTCGTACCAGTAGTACTCCTCCACCTCCGAAGTCACCACCTGGTGGGCCAGTAATCAGCGAATCTCAAGTCTCTGGCCCAAGCCACTCGATTCCAACGGTTCATCCCTCGCTCATTCCCAAGCCCCAAGAAGATGACGAAAATGACAGGCCACTTTCCCACGACCCTGAAAAATCATCCCTGGCACCCCCTCCCGAATCCTCCCATCCAGCTTTCCATCCACTTCCGGGAATGCCCAGTCTGCGACCTAAACATCGATCCAGTATGGGTATTACCATGAGTGAGTTAGACGGAAGGGAAATCGGAAGAAGAAGTGTTTCTGTTGGAGGAAGTGAGAGAATGAGTGGAAGTGGAAGTGAGGGTGTTGTCAGTGCGATGAGCACGCCCTCACACAGTGTGATTCTGGGTGCATCGACGGATCTTGCTCAAGGACAGGCACAAGGATATTGGTATCCAAATGCGCCTCCTAATCTACCATTATCTCTGTCCGGTCGACCTATACAATCTCACAGCCGCGGAAACTCCTCAAATTCGTCAAATTCCTCTTCGATCAATCCGGAACCAAGTATGAATCAAGAACCAGCATCTCAATACGCACAGAATCAATACTCACGTCAACAAGCGCAACACCAATATGCCCAACAGCTAGCTTCAGCACGTCATGGGAAAGGTATGAATGCAAGCACAAATGAACATCAAAATCCATATCAAATGTATAGAGATAGTAGGGAGCATCAACAGAATATGGGATATCAACATGCGTTGGTCAGGGCGCAAGAAGAACGTGCGAGAGCTCTTTCGGAGACCCAAGGACAAGGATACGGCCAAACTCTAGGACAAAGAAACATACAAAAAGGAAAGGGTCGAGAAAGGATGAATTCGACAAGCCAAGAATTACACGCAGAGGAAAATGGCGGCAAGGAACTAAGAAGAGAAAGCAGCACTCACAGCATCCCCATAGGACTCGGCTTGGATGCGCGACCCGCTCCTCGGGAATCAGAACGAGACACAAATTCACAAAATGAAAATGCGCAGATGCATGTCCACGCCAGTTTATACGGAAAAAAGGAAGATCTCCCTCAATCTCTCTCACATCAAGGCTCCCAACTTACGCAATCCAATGCAGCCAAGCAGAATTATCAAAGTCATCGCGCAAACACCGACTCGGTATCTAGCATGGGATCTCCCAGCTCGACGTCTGCAAATGTTGGGGCATGGAACCCAGAGCCTGTGTATACACATCCAGGATTTGAATTTGAATGTAAAGTTGTGGCGCCTACACCTCCTCCTCAGATGGTGGAGATGTCCGGAGGAGTGGAGAAAAAACGAAATCATGTACTAAGTTGGTCTGAGTATGATGCTGGTGGAGAATTGTCCATTTCGCCTGTCTTGGATGGGAAGGGAAAGGGGAAGGAGATTATTGAGTGATCTGAAGGATTGAGAAATCAAATTAATATGATGGGTGGAGTATCGAAATGGAAGAAAGGAACCGAGGATGGTTTGAGTGATGAATAGGAATGATGAGGGAGTTTACATTTACATTTACAAAATGCATGAGAGCGGCGTTCGGATTTGAGCATTTACTACATACACTGGAACGATCACTAATACGATGCCATACCATATGATGCGATACAACGAGTTTGGAGAGGAGGAACCGGAGAGGAACATACTACAGCATATTGTACATACCTCAGCTGCCATGAGAAGAAGCGGAGAGGAAGAAAATTAGCCGAGTGCAGTCAAGAGAATGTGAGCAGGCTCAACACTCACGGTGAAATGGAAGGTGGAGAACAAGGTGAACATGAAGGAGTGTTGAGTTAGTACCATAGTACGAAGCATGAATGAGTCTCAAGTTGTGGGACATGGTGGTGGATTTTAAATGTAGATATTGAATACGATGATGAATCAACCGAAAGAAAATACACCGAGGCGTTTGTATATCCATGTGTGAGTAGTATCTCCGTGTGATGATGTCGAGTGATGGATAGATGAAGTAGGTAGGTAGGTTAGATTTTGTATTTCGATCAGGAAATTCTGAAGCGAGAGGGATGCGGAGATTGGGGGGTTTTGGGGGTTTGAATTGGAAATGAGGTTTGAAGGACTGAGGAAGAGGGATGAAGAGGGTGGGACGGGATGAATTAGATTCGAGATGGATACTATGTCATGGGGATATGGTTAATTCCAGGCTATTAAAGATGAAGTGATTAAAGATCTATAACTTGAATAATTAGATGATTCTTATTCAAAGAGATATTTAGATTTGACTTGATTTAGAATAAATAAATATCTATAATTTTATAAAAAAAATAAAAATATATATATATATTATAGAATTAATCATATATTAAAGAGACAATAATGATTTTATATTATAAAAGATAAATCATATATAATCTAATAAATACTTTGAATTAGTTAGAGTATATAATTAGTTTTGATTATATATATTAGAATATACCTATCTGATTATCTAAGAATATGATTAAATTCTAGAGTCTATTCGATATATTTTCTATTATAGAATCACAATATATTAAGATTACAATCAGTAGGTAGCGAGTTATTGTATTGATAATTAAGCGAGAGATACAAATTACTCGCAAGTACTCGTATCTATATTCCTTAATGTTAGTTACTAATCTCTGTTCCCTAAAACCGCACTTGATTTAATTTACTCTCATGCTCCTTGGATCTTGTTGGATCTATATCCAATATCTAAAGATGAAAATCTAGTCTATAATAGCTATATTTACGGGGGGAGGGGGGGGGTGACATATCAAAAAACGTCGTAATATGATTATTATGTTATAGCAAATGCTTATCGTTGGACTTGTTTAGGATTCTATTATTCATTCGTGATACTCACCTTTATTATGTTCTTATCGATTGTAAGATTACGTATAAGCATTACAGTTAGTTAGGAATTACTTGAATGCCGACCTTATATTACCAAGGATCCTGGTAAAAATTATGCATTCTCAAGTATTATCTATCTAATTCTCATAGCGTAAGAGTGAGAGTCTATTTGAATATATTCTTTCACTTTGAAGATTCGTAAATGATTAGTAGAGTGTCTAATCCGAGTTTGGTTGTAATTTTCGATACTGAGGAATCAGAGCTTACCGCGTTGCTGAAAAATGGCCCTCAAATTCGCAGTAGTAGCAGCTCAGAATCGGTATCTTTTCAAGCTCCTCTCAACGGGTTGACCTATGATGTGGAGACGATGAACTGACGGTTGAGGAGGTGGCACATGGCAAAGGATGATAAGGTTAAGTTTTGAGCGGTAATTGGGAGCTAATCTGGAAATATCAGACCGTAGCTGATATATGTTAAAGAACATTTGATTGTGATTGTTTGAACAAACATTGGTTCAAAAAGATGACGCATAATGCATGCAACATTTGATATTCCCCTAAATTGTTACATATCTTCTACGAACTTCACATGAACGATCACCATTTATCTTGAGTTCATCACATATATAAAACTAATTCGAGTCTCTCATTCAAAATACCGATACTTTATTCAATGCTTAATTTAGTGAGTGCCATGCATACAGCTAATCGTATATCTCGCTTACTATAAGTAGCTCTTTTATATAATTATTTATCTTTGATGGCATATTTGTTCCTATCTAAGCGCTCGAGTTTGATCTAAAGGTTCGGAAAACTTTATGTTAATATACAAGTTGTAGTTGGTAGGTTTTGAATTTGGAAATTTTATTTTAACACACAAGTTGTAGTTGGTAAGTTTTGTTTTGCGATTCAATTTGAATTTGAACAATTGGCGAGGTTTCTCGTTAGTCTCGAGCCCCTGAGTCAATATGCTCAACTAAGCGACAACACTTCTGTCTCGGATCTTGTCCTCGCGTCCTAGGAAATTCTGAGTAGCAGTTGTATTCCGTTTTTATGAATTGTATTTACGAGCTCGGTTTCTATGCCAATTGCAGACTTTACATCTATTCATAATGCTGAAAATTTCTATAATTATCCCAGACTAGACTACCTGTCTAGTCGCTAATAGACTGTTGATACTCCAGAAACAACCTTTACTTTCACAACATCCACCATAGTATGCATGCTCATATGAATATATTCTTTGAAATATCTACAGTTTTGGGCCACCGATTTGATACCAGGCAAAAAGAATCATTGCAAATTCTCATGATTGAATTCTATGATTGATTGAGTCCCAATCTAATATCAATTGCATACATCTTAAGATACTGTTAGCAAAATGCCCTCCACTCCTAGCTCAGATCAAGGACGATGAAACAGTCGAGCGCTGCATCTTCTATAACAATTTCGTAGACTGTGTACTACGTGCGCGCATGATTACTTCACATCCTTACGTTCCTCCACCTCGAGGTAATACAGTTGACCACAGCATTACGTGCAACCACGTTATTTCTTGGCTCAAGTACACTACACCGCCATAGCCTTATCTCGGAAAATTATCAAGCACACAAGATGTACAAGACTTATGCATATCTTTGTTCCAGCTTGATGTCGTTGATTTATTGAATTTTCCTTCGCAGCCAAAATTAGCAACAGCATAATCCCATGTAGGGGCAAAACTCCAAGACCAGATAGGAGAACGGAAATACTTGGGCTGCATGTTGTGTTTGCCAAGTTCACTGCGGATAAAGACATGACCAGTGGAGTCACTTTAAGGCCATGCGGTGCTATTATGATCTTTTGCACTGGATGGATTGGATAATATAAGTACCAGGCATTACCTCGATTGATACCTTTTAATACTAGAGCTCTCAGTTCCTCAAAGCTAAAACTTTTAAGTTGTGTTGAATTTCAGCTTACGATGTCTACATCATTGACAACCGGAAAGACCACCAAGCAATTTGCTGAGTCAGCTCAAGATGATACCAAACTATTAGTTCTTGAACAGATATTGAAGGAGTTGAGAGAAGTCTCTTCTCATTTGAGAAAGCAAGAAACTCGTCTTAGTTCTGTAGAAAATGGGCTACGCGAAAGATCCAAGCTGGTGGATGGAAAGCCTATTATATGTGGCGTAGGTTTGTTTAGTTGCTGCTTTCTGTTAATCTTTAAATTAGAGTCCATCACGGCTAACTGAGGTGTCACGAAGGGAAATACCATTCAGGTGTATAGCAATGACGGAAGAACGTCAAGAACTCAGATTGTTGACAAGACTGACGAGAGTTCGAGTGGTAATTCCACCGTAGTGCCACTGAAGTATGGAATTCAGGGAGCAATATCATTACCATTGGACGTTATGCAAATCTACCACACCGATGCAATTTCATTTGAGAGATTAGGAAGAAAAGGTGTAATCGAAGACGAAGTTCCGCGATTGGCCACATCCTCAGAGATTGATCGCTGGACAAGTGTTGTAGGAGACATTTACAAGGTCCCCGAAGATGGAAGACTCAGATTAACATTCTCAACACGATGGCTATTGATGTTGGCATCATCTGATGATGCCCAGCAACATCTTGACCGGATAGCGCACGATGAACAGCTATGCAGAGGTCACACAACAATCACTGACCTTTTTGATAGTGGGCAGATAATACGATATTCGATTGGTGTTCAGGACTCAAATTCTGGGTCTCACAATAATCACTGTCTTAATCCTACTTCCACACCATGTCCTGTTGGAACTCCAAACTCGAAACCATTGGTCGCTCCATGGAGAAGAGTAATGTAAGTCAAAATATTGCCTCCGAGATTTCGTTAGACTTATGTTACCCCTTTGTTAGCTCCATATCATGTCCTGAGCTCAGGTCAACAACTCTTACTCAAGAACTCGTACGAAGAGAAGATAACGATATCAGATCCCAGACTATCCCGTGCGCCGTGAGAGGAATTACCCCCATGGATCGTATCATTTTCCATATCAAGTATTTTGAAATACACAATGTAAAGCGGGAGGAATATATTTGTGTGCCTTGGACAAAGTTAAAGTCGGGAAGGTTGCATAGTGACAAAGAATTTTCGAGTGGAAAGTTTCGCATTCTACTGGAAAGCTCGTACCGGGTGAGTCCTTTGCATACTGCACCTTAGGAGATTGATATGCTAACTTGTGTATACAGCTTGTTGCACTGGCAGACAGAGGTTGTAAACAGTACTGGACCTTGTTGGAACATAAGCCATTGATTTTCAGCCAGACAATCTCGGAAGTAATGCATTCCGATGGTACGCCTCGAAACGTTCTGTCGACTTTCTTCCGCTATGCAATCAATGCCGTCTCTGAAATGATTTATAAATGGGAGCAGATCCTTCAATATTTTGACGACTCGTTTACTCAAAAGATGTCGTTCTTGAATCCGATCAAGCACGATTATCTTCTGCTAGACGACGAGACATTTTCCAGGTCCAAGCGATATTTTTGGGCAATAACGACACTCAAGGAATTGCATGCTGTGATTTCAATGAACATATATAATGTATCTAAATTGATTAATCAGAGAGAACTCACCCCAATTGAAGGAGATGAGGTGGAACTTGTTGAAGCCTCTCGCAAGAAATTGCGGCAATGTTTCAAACGATTGGAGGGGATAGCAGACGGATTAAACAAAAAGAAAGAAGAAGCTATTGACATGAGAGATGGCGTAAGTACGACGTCCTATTCCCATGATTTTCATTAGACTAATTCTTCTAATTTCTAGCTTTTCAATGTCAGTGCTGTTATGGAAAGTCGTGCTGCTACTAAATCGGGAGAAAATGTCAAGCTATTGACTTTTGTGAGCATATACTTCCTGCCACTTTCGTTTTGTATGGTAAGCCGATTCCTATCTCAGCACATGTCCCATTCAACCTGAGTATACAATTGGCCAGGAATAATACACCTCAAGTCAGTTTGGAGTATCAATGATGGGATTTTCAGTCTTCGATTACTGGAAATTGTTACCATCGTTGTCGGACTGTCGACATACCTCATAGTTTTCAATCTTGACAGCCTCATGAATTTATCACGAGCACTGCATCAAAGATTTGTTGTCTTTGCAATCTCGATGATGGAAATGGAGGCTTCACACACAACCTGGGGGAAAAGAGCCTACAATTTTGAAAAGTTCTCGCTTCATAGGGAGATCGAACATAAGCCGTCGGATTGGAGATTGGTACAATACTTGCTTTACCGAGCACTTGGTATGATAGGCACCATAGGAAGATCCACGGCTCTGCTTAAGCATACCAAACAAAGACTATCTCTTGCCACAGTAGCATCGATGAAAGAGGCTCGAAATCCAATTTGGAGAGACCGAGCTCAACGTTTCGAAGATGCTTGGGCTGAAAAAAGTACGGACAAGCCATCTAATTGGCCTATGTGTCAATACATTCTGGTTAAAGGGACTGGGTGTTCCCTCATCTCTGCCTGTTTTCACCGCCATTTTAGAGATCAGACTGTTCCTGAACCAAGTCAGGGCCAGACTATCACCGGAGACCTCGAGAACCAACAAATTAAGTAGCGGTATTGCGCCAGCCAAGTTTTAACGACACCAGCCTCCCGAGTAGTAACGCGCATACTTACTCGCTGGACAGCGTATACAATCTCCCCTCCTCTCATCTCCTCGACTAAAGGAGGGAAAGGAGAGCTCCAACTAGGTGGGTTAGGAGAAAATCGACAATTTCAAGAAGAGGATAGGTTTTTTTTGAAAGGGAGAGGAGGGAAGAGGAGAGGAGAATTAAGAATGTTTTTAACTGTATAAAGAAAAGATATATATATAATAATTAAAAAATAGTTGAAAAATAAGTATTTGCTTCATTCAGACAAGTTTATCGAGAAGATAGAACTAGAATTGACAAGATTCTATTCGAATTTGTTTGAGATCAATTTTCCTAACCCTTCTTTCCAATCTAAGGAGAGAAGAAGTCGACTTTTTTTAGAGGATTACGCAGGTTATGAGATATAGGGAAATTCCCAGGAGATAGTAAGGAGTTTTAGGGCTTAGGGGAGGAGGGAGATTGCAAACGCTGCCGCTGGGTGTATCATACAAATGGAGTATTTATAGAGGATCTTTCGTGATGATAATTTAAAGGTAGGGTTCCGCAGATACTTCCCGTAGAATTGCAAAACGACAGAACTGCAAAATCGGCAGAAACTGTTATTTCTGGCTGGCTGAATAGACATTCTAAGACAAATAGTTAATTGAAAAAGATGATGTTACGTTCATTGTGTTTGGTGCAGCACCCAATTGAGCTCCAAGTGGTAAAGTACCCAAATATCAAATCACCTCAGTTCAACGCCTTTAGCTCACGCTCTCTGGGTCATGGAAATAAGAGTAATGAAAAGATTCATTCATATTTTATCATCTCCTGATCTCTACTATCAGCCTGTCCCTTCATCAAGGGCCTTAAAGCCAGAAAAGTGTTAATACACACTGGGTACGTATCTGGGTGTATCCAATAGAAAACAGGCTAAACGCATTAGGCGTATTACGTAATCATCTTGATTGATATAATTAACAGGATTGTACATAGCTTTCAATATAATATACACTACACTTAATACTAAATCTTAACCTACAATACATATCTTTTCTGATGATCTATATAGGGATTCAAGATACATTCAATATCTTATTTCCATTCTCTTTGTAGTTAAGCCTTTAAATTAAGAATATTTAGAAACCCTCTTTATTTCTAAGTTCATTGTACAACAGCGCCTGTACAACAATCACTACACCGGTATTAAAAAAGCTTTCAAAAGAATTATAAATATTATATAGTTTTATTAATTTGAAGAATCGTTATATAATTGTGGAAATCCAGTGTTTAAACAATTTTTTCTGATTTTTCTTTTTATTTTTTAAATACTTCTCTTTTCAGAAATACTTTATATATTTACTTCTATAGTACTTTTTGTAAGAATTCAGTATTACTTTATAATTAGAATACAAACTCCTTTTGATTTTTAAAATATTCTTTTAATATTACTTTTGATTCCGGAAATCTGTTATATAGGTTTTCAATTTTATTCTGAATAATATTAATATTAACAATATCATTCTCTTCGAGCAAATCCAAATTATTATTCGATTCTTTCAATATTATTCTTATTTTAATTTCGAAAAACGAGACCTTTATCTTCCACTCGTTTAGCAATTGCTAAAAAATATACAAAACCCTTTTAAGAACTTAATCCTATTATTTATCAAACTACAACTTCGACTTTTTATTCTTCAAATTCAAGAAATCCTCTCGAAATACCATTTGCCAAATCCTTTTACAATATCGAATAACTTTATTGCCTCAATAGTTTGTATTGAGTAGGCTAAAATCAAGATTAACAATATACTATCTTTCTCAAAAGAAAAGAATACTATTAAGTTATAAATTCGGAAAATCAAGTAAACTATATACCTTACTATTAATAACGATATTTATAAACTATATACCTTTTTCAATCTTATTCTATTTAAATTCTCCAGCAGAGCTAGCAAATAGTTAAATAAAGATAAAGAGTTTTCTAAGATTATAAATAATATTAATTTAGCAAATAAGACTTTATAAGATAAATTTATTACTACTCTTATTAACCACTTCTCGAATAAGAAAAATAAAGATTTAATATAAATGATTCTCAATATTATAAGCTCTTTAGCTTAAAAGAAAAACAAATCCATTTAAAAATACTATTAATATATTAAGAATCTATAATTGAAAATAGGCTATAAGAATATACCTTCCTTTAAGCACAATACCGATATTCTTTAAGCTAATATTCAAAAAACCTTAATTAAAGTATTCATTACCAATCTTATCAACTCTAATCTATACTCAGAATTTATCAAATTAAACACTATCTATAGATTCCTAAATAAAAGCTATTCTATAATATACAATATTTAGAAAAATATAAAAATAGAAAAAACACTTATCCAAAACAATATTATCAATCACATCACCAACACTCTAAAAAAGCAGAATCTCAAGGATTTATTCAAAAAAAAGATTGAATCTTTTTTAGGATAAGTATCTCAATCCTAATCCTTCAATCAACAAAATCGGAATACCCCCAACAACAACTATAATTTTAATAATGAAGGAAACAACAATTTGAGCTCAAATAATAGACCATTGAATTCAATATCCCAATCTACTTATATTCAATCTCCCGTATTAATAGGTATACAAGCAAAAGAGACTGGATTAAATCTAAAGAACTCTTGGAATAATATTATCAATGGATCAAAATAATATGATTATTCAAAAAAGCCTTTATATTTTAAATACAAAATCTACAATTATATCAAGTCGAACTATGTGAATCAACCTCTTCAATATTAGGAACAAATTGTTTTAAGAAGTATAGTTTTCTTAAACCATAATATTATGATTATATTAATAACTTATATATACCCTTAATTGTCTAATACTAATACTAATAATCGAATCAATTTAAATAACTATCAAAAACCTAAGTTTATCAGTCCGAACTTAATCCCTTTTAAATCAAATTCTATATTCTCTTTAGTACAAATTAATAATAATTCAGACTATTCAAATAATAAGATATCTATATCCGGAATGTATTTCTTTAATATAAAATTTAATATAGATATAGATAACAAATAAAAAAATAAAATTCAAGCTTTTAATATAACATCTCGTAAAAGAATTAAATCTAATAATATATTTAGTATTATTAGAGATTAATATAATATATCTTATACTAAAAACACTTATATAAAAAATACTCTTTATAATAGATATTCCGATATTTTCGCTCCTTATTTTTATAAAAAATCTAAATCAATTTTTAAGAATTTATCTTAATCTTCATCTTGTAATTCCTTACTTTAATCAATTCAAGCTTTTCCAAACCCTTTTATAATATATAAGTATAAGAAATACACTTTAAAATCTATATCTTATTTAATCCTAATAAAGAGATCTATTAAATCTTTTAAATCTTTATTTAATATTATAGCAAGAGCAGAAAAAACCCCTATTGATTATAAAAACTTATTTTTTATCTTTAAATCGGAAACCTCTGGAATTGATATATTAACTTTTTATCAAATCTTATTAGATACATTTAAAAATCTATAATATCTTATGACTTGAGAAAATATTATTAAGAAAAAGAAGAAAAAGGATATACAATCTATTATCAAAACTACAAATAAATCTATCTTATATATTATAATACAATTCAGATCCAATAATAATTTAATTGAAGTTTATTATATTTGTATTATAAATATTACCTTGAATCAGAATCAAATAAAGCAATATTTTCTATATTTACCAAATAATACAAATTATATACTAAAATTCCGAATTGTATAAATCGATCTTACCAAGCCTATAAATCTATAAGCAATTAAAATCCCAATCTCACTTATCATTATTAAGATCTCTAATCAAAATAAAGCTTTTCGAGTTTAGGAAATTATCTCAATCCCAAAAGAGGGATATACTACTGAAATCGTTTTAAGCAGATCTCATTACATTATCGATTAAGGATCTAATAATAATATAATCTTTCCAGCACTTATTGATTATTTAGATTTACTACAATATTAGATTGCCTCGAAAAATACTATTTCCATGGAAATAGCTGATGGTGGGAATACTAGACTTAAATAATATACTATTTTTAGTTTTATGGTCGAAGGTATTCAATACATTATATATGCTTTTATTCGATTTAACAGGAAGAATTATTTTAATAAAGATAAAAAGAATCTATTTCTTGGTTTACTATGGCTTTATATTATTAAAAACTATATTAATATTTTCAATTGTATTATTTCTATTGGTGATAAGAATCTTTCAGAATCTTATATTTTTATTCAAACTCTATAACTAATATAATTACTTTTTTATTAATTAATTCTTTACCCAATAAACTCTAAATATCAAATTGCTAGATAAAAAGCTAAAATTTCTATAAAAAATGAATTATTGAAATCAAACTATTTCGATGTAGATATAGTATATTCTAAGGGAAAGGTTTTTTTATCCGATTATGATATTACTGAAACTGTTAAAAAAATCTTTGAGATTGAATTAGATTCTATAAAATCTATAACTTTATTTAGTTCTTTAAACTTTTAAATCCTAAGTATAACTTTAAACTACAGAAAAAGACCATCTTCTAACCACCTGAATCCTTTTTGTATACAAAAGCTAGGATACTATACTTTTTAAAGAATATTATATAGATATACAGATTCAATATTCCTATTGATATACTTGAATTTATGAATTTTTTATATAAATCTTTTACTCTTTGGCTTAAGTTGAAGTCTCTTTCTGGAAATCAGTTTCTTATATTCTCCTTTCAAATCGAATCTAAATACTTTATTTCATTTAATTATATATATCCTATTGAGAGATAATCTATTTTTTGATTATTGTTTATAGATTTGATTGAATTGATATAAAAATGGTTTAATATTAATAATATATATATTAGTCCTTTAATTATAGAAAAATTATAATAATATGTTATACGTTTTTTATACACTTATAGAGATTTGAATATAACCAAATTACATTATATTCCCCTAACTATTCTTTTTATTTATTATATATATTTAAAGAAAGGCATATTTCCATATAAATGTAAATTTCGATTTTGATATAGTCCTCAATAGATATATTAGTTAAATAAGATTATTTAAGATGGCTATAAGTGTTTTATATACAAATACACTATGATAACTAATAGCAAGTTATTCGATTAGTTTGTAATACCTTTTGTTATCGAAAAGCCTGATATTATATATCTCATACTATCTCCTTACAAACCTGATTCGAAATAACAAATCGTTTTCGATTATTCACAAGTGAAAGAAGAGATGCCTAGCAGCTATTATACACTAGCTCAAGAAGTTCATGAATATTTATCTCATCCCAATCATACAGTTTTTATACAACTTGATTTTAAACATATATATTAAATAATACCTCTCCATTCTATAAATAAATATATTTTTGTCTTCTCTATAAAAGATTCCGTTTAAATATAATCTATTCATATTCTATAAGATACTCAAATTACATGTTTTTCAATATTTGAGCTTTTATATACTATTTATGATTACATTCCCCGCCTTCCAAAAAAACATTACTATTTAAAGAACAGCATTCTTTATACTAGCAAGTACCCTTCTATTCTTAAACCTAACTCTCCAGATAGTTTAGCTTTAATCAAATTCTATGTGAACAATATATTTTCTGGATATAAGATAGTTGAAAACACTTACAATATCCTTATAAACCATCTTTTTTTAAGATTAGCTTTTGCTTAACTATATCTTTCTTTTAAGAAACTATATATATTTGTAAGTGAAATAGAAGCTTTAGATATACTCTATCAAACAAATAGTATAATAATTACCAAGCCAGCCCAAGCTATTAAAATTAAAGACTTTTCTACTCCTAGGAATTCTATCAAAGTTTACAGTTTCTTAGCTACTATTCAAATAACCCATTAAAGTATTAAGAATTTTATCGAGATATCTCATTCTCTTTCCCGTTTTACCGGCAATATTGACTAACAATAGGGATTATATAAGCAACTTGCTTTTGAGTTTCTATAAGTTAAGTGTTCTGAAATAATCAAATCATATAGTATTGACTATTCCCTTCCCATTGAAATATATACAGATTCTAATACTTTTGTATCAAATTGCTATATTGTACAGAAACAATACCCCCTAGGAATTACCTCAGAACCTTTAATTATATACCTTGTTTTATACAACTCCTTTCTTTTTATTAAGATTCAGAGAAATTATAGTATTTATAAATATAAGCTTTTAGTAATCATCGAGTTTGTATACAAATATTACTATTATTTCCATTACCTGAAATCTTACAAGATTTTCACCAATCATATACTATTAACTAGATTCTTATTCCCTAAAGCCAAAACTTGTAAAATCTATACCCATTGAGCTATAAAACTATTTGTTTTAAATATCATTATTGAATATATTAAAGGATCTTGTAACAAGATTATAAATATATTTTCCTATACTATTTTCCTCAATTCGAATTACAAATTGAATCCACTTTTAGATTTTCTAGACTTATTTTAAAAGAATAATAAAAACCTTAAATAGATTTGAAAAAACGGAATTAATGATTATAAAAAGCTCCTTTATCTATATAAGATTGAGCAACTTCAAACTATTACTAACCACAAAATACTATAATTTCTTGAAAATAATCTGAATATTGTAATATTAAATCAACTTATAATTATTATTAATAATATCTCTTTTAAATCAGTTTCTAGTAAGTATAAGGACAATCTGTAATATCACAATATATTTAATTATATTTCTATTAATATATTTCTTGATAGGATTTCTACTCTTGAAAAGATATCTTTTCTATATTATACTAAAGACTTTTTCTTATTTGAGAATAAACTTTTTTATATATTTTATAAAGTTAATAAGTATTGTATATAATAATATGAGATATCAGATATTTTATTATATGTATATAATCAGAAAGAATATTTCGCTACAGAATTAATTATTAAAAAGCTTAGAAACCATTATTAGCTTTATCTAGTTTCAGATATTAAGCAATATATTTTAGATTATTTGAAGTATGCTAAATATAATATTCAATAGCATATCTTTTATTTAATATCTTTTAAAATTAATTATTTACTCACTTTTATCGGATTTGATTTTATAGGATTACTTCTATCTATATTAGTTAACAAAGCTCAGGTTCTAAATATAACTTGGCTTGTAGTATAGAAACTAATAAATATAGGACTTACTATTGAAAATATGGACTACAACGATAGTATATTTGATAAAAAAGAATACCTTAATTTCACTTATATTTTATTAATTATTAATTACTTCTCCCATTATATTTAAGTATTCCCAATAATTGATATTACAGAAGTAGAGATTATTAAATATCTAGATTAACTTTTTAATACAATTAAAATCCCTATTAAAGAAATACATAATCCTGATATATATTTTGAAAATAAGATTCTATATAGTTTTTCAAAAAAATCCGGAATACTATTTATTTCTATAACTATCGAAGTGAAAAAGTCATCCGGAATAATCGAAAAAGGAAACAATCTATTTCAAAGAATATTTAAAAAAATCGAATCTAATATTATTGATTGATTATTTAAGATTTAAACTAGTATTAATTCTTTTAATATACAAAAGATATCTCATTTAGATTATTTCTCTTATAAGATTATATTTAGTTTTTAATTAATCAGTTTTTTAGAAATCGAATATCTTTTTTATAAATAAAAGAAAATACAGAATTATCTTCTTACCATTAAAAATGTTAACAAGGAGTTTTCTTTTGAGATATACTATATTAAAGTTTTCGAATTCATGTACAATCGGGAGCTAATCAGATAAAAAGCTCTGGAACAATCTGATTGAAAAAAAGCTGTTAATAAGGAAAAATACGATATAAATATATGAGGTAATTTTATATATTAATCAAAAGATATAATTATGTTATATAACAATACCTCAGTTAAAAAGAAATTATATCCCTTTTACTATAATCTTTTTGTTATTATCGGTTTTGTAGAAGATTATTAGAAATTTTATAAATTGTAATAAATCAATAGAAAAACTATTCACAAATTGTTTTATATCAACTATTTAAAGCTTTTCAAATTTTAAATTGAATATCTATATATACTATTTGAGGATAATATATTGGAATATCAGAATCTATAAGCTAATACTTATAAGTCCACTCTTCTATCTAATCTATGAGAAGGAGTTGGTGTATGGCAAGCTGTACCATTTGTCTTATAGGATCAATCTGAAACTACACTCTAACTTTGTCCAAAATAAGCAAAGTTATATCAGGATAGGAAACTACAAATACTCTAGCTACCAATTCAGCGAATTCTATTATCCATTTAATTTAAATACAATAGTAAGCTGATATATGGGTGGATATTTATAGTGATTGTTGATTGATTAATAGAATAAGAGGACTAAATATACTATATGGTCATTTTGGCATATATGAAAGGAATACGGAAATAGGACTTATTTTAGCTTAACTAGAATATGTATGCGAGGGCGTATGTCTTGTAGGATTGGTTTAGAAAACAGACTAAACGTATTAGGCATATTATATAATCATCTTGATTGATATAGTCAACTGGATTGTACATAGCTTTCAATATAATACGCACTACACTTAATACTAAATCTTGACCTACGATACACGTCTTTTCTCCAATACATTTCTCATGCCCCTCGTATTATTGCAACCACCTTCATGCCCGCAATTTCCATACTCGCTTTCATGCCCCTTTTCATTATATCCTTCACTGCCCATGCTTCATTTTCTCCGAACTACAACTAAACCCACAAAAAGAAAACGCCGCAACAATGCTCTTTTCTTGACGGATCGTCCTATGAAAGTAACGAAAATCCATTCCCAACGCCCATCCATTTTATCTGCATCGGTGTTCTCCAAACAATTTCCTTCATGGCTGCCTACTCTTGTAGTAGGTGTCTTTTGATGTCTTCAACGAACCAATCTCGATCAGACCCATGCTGAAAGTCTTCTGTGGCTTCTGGTACTCGAGTATATACCGAATTTAAGTGAGTATCTAGTGACCAAAACCAAATCCAAAGGACCTCTTAATTCGTAAATCCCATCAACTTTGTGATTTCATCCAATAACTCTGTCAAATCGTCATCGCTGATTTTGTCTTGTAAACTGGGTATCAAAGTCTTCGCTTCATCGGCCGTGTCGCAACATAATGAGCCTTTACATCTCATGTTAGCATTGCTTCTCCAATGATACCCTCGTTATCCATCTTCACCAAACTGCCCTCTCCATCCCCCCCCCCATCTCCCCTTTCAACCTTCAAGAAATCCAAGCATAAAAAAGAAAAAACCACAAGTCACCTACCCAACTGCGCCCTCTCGAATTTCGCCAATTCTCCCCTACTTCCCAACAATCTCTCTACAGCCTCCACGTTTTCCTTTCTCTTGAATCTCGCAAAATGATCCAGGTATTCTTGCGTCTTACTCAAGATCTCAGTCTCGTTAACATTCTTGCGATCACCACGACGCTTTGCGACAAGCGCGTTGATAACGAGTGCGGCTTCAGAATGAGTAAGTGCATCTACATCTTGGAATTCTCCGAGCTTCAGAACGGTGGATGCTTCTTCGTCGCCTGCTGGAGGAGCGCGAGAGCGAGATGTGGGGGCAGGTGCTGCCATTGTTTCGAAGGGAGAGGTAGGTTCGAGAAAGGTTGAAGGATGTCGTTTGTGGGGGGGGGATCGGGATTCGATAACTTTGACTGTTCTTCTGACTGATTGTGATGTCTCGAATTTAACTGTGTAATTAAAGAAAACAATCCTTTCCTTGAAATGCGCGTCCTGCTTTTCCAAATCAACTTTGTGCAAAGACTCGACGTGTTTTGCTATAAAGGTGATTTTGTTGACTTGAAAGGAAGAAAGAAAGTTAAGTTGCGGCCGATCTATCAATAAACATGTGCTGGTCGGCAAATTCTCGAAATCCGGGGAAGGCTGCTTACTTAGCCGTTTTGGGACGAGGCTACAGACAACAGTATCTTGATGCATCTCGAACTTTATATTGTGGATGTTTAATGAATGCGCCGAGTTTGATATTCAATTTTTGATTCTTGAATTGTGTAGACGAAAGAAAAGGACGATTACGAATGCGAAGTTTGCAACGAACAATTGATTTCTACTACGAATAACTCTCTCAGCTTCCTTTCCATCGATTGCTCTTAGCAGTGCATCAAATATCAAAATGCAAGTTCTACTCCCAACTCTCCCCACAAAGTCTCAGAATCGTGACTCTAATACCCAATCCGTAGGGTCGTCTTTGCCCTCACAATAATAAATAAAGCTGGTGGACTTATCTACCAAAAAGATTTCGCAGATGGATTGAACAAACTATCTATAAATGACTATCTAGTGCTTGCTGGAACATTTCACGGGTACATGACTTCTCTCTTTCTACTTCCCAATTAGACCCATCTCGAACTTCTTCTACTGAGAATTCCCACTAACAAGTCCCTAGAGTTCACGCTATTTCCACTCGACTAAACCCCATCCCATCCTCTCACCTCGCTTCAACAGGTGCCTCCTCTCTTCCTTCAACATCCCACTCCAAGACGCTCTCTACCCTCTCCTCTCTCTCCTCCACCCCCACATCCGATGACCGACCAGATCCACCTTCCGGCATCGAAGTGCTCGAAACGACTTTGTTCCGACTCCAATGTTTCCAGACTCTCACTGGCACGAAGTTTCTCCTATTTACTGAACCTGGCATGCCAAATGTTGATAGCATATTGAGGAAGATATACGAACTGTATGCGGATTATGTGATGAAGAACCCGTTTTATCAGTTAGAGATGCCGGTTAGGTGTGAGAGGTTTGAGAGGGGCGTGGAGAGGTGGGTCAGGGGGGTTAACATGAGGTAATTTGGAAGGGGGTTATGGGCAGATGGATCGATGGATCGATGGATTCACGTGGAGAGCCAACGGACTTGGGGAAAAGCGAGGTGGTATCGTGGGCTCAGAGGTTGTATTCCCACTTATTGAAGAAGCGGGGAATGTCTCTGGATCTGATACAGGATACAGGAGTACCTGATCAGATCTCTCACATTAGGACTAAGAATGCGAAGGGAAATGTGGACATAATTTCGGGCATAGAAGGAACTTGTTGGGACTTAAGCATTATATTGAGCATACGCGCCGATATTTCACAGGCCAAACTTCAAAGGAGTCAAGGAGTATACAAACTAGAAGTAATTTGTTGGCAGAAGAGCCAAATACCATTGTATATGATATCTATTGGTACATACCAAACGCCAGTTTGCCATGCAGCCCCAACCATTCATTCAATTAGCAATCCATCAATTCATTTCCCCGCCATATACTTCAACTCCTCATCTAAGCCGTATCCATTTTATCATCGTCTTTCTTGTCTCCACTCCCACTAGCTTCTCCGTCCTTATTCAATAGAGGTGCAGATGCCTCATCCTCTTCCTTAATCTCTCCTAATGCAGACTGCTCCGCTGCTTCCTTCTCTAGTCGATCCTTCTCGTTTTTCTCAACCCGAGCTTTCTCATCCTCCATACTCATTCTCAATGCTAATGCCAACTCTGGGTCTACGCTTGGATCGATACCAAATTCAAATGCGCCTGCATCACCACTTGTTTCGGCTCCACCCATACCAACTCCTCCTGTAGCTCCATCCCCATTTAGAATTGGTGAAGTCATTAACTGATCACTAAGAAGCTGAGGTCCTGGTGGAATGATGGCCAAATGTGATCCATCACCTCCCTTGACATTCTCATTGAAGGCTGTCAATTTTTTGGTGACATCATCATCAAGTTCTCCGAATACAACGAAATCGATCGAAACGTTATTTTTCTTCATCTTTTTGGCGAGCTTGACAAGTGATTTTTCGTCTTCTGCGATTGGAGAGCAAGTAAAAACAATTATGCGTTGACGTTGGGATTTGTTTTGTCGGTGTTTGAGTGCCAACTATGAGATTATCTACATCAGCATTTACTCCAATAGCATGCCCGGACAATAGGTAAGATTATAAAAGAGATGATAACATACACCAGCGATTTGAATACCAGTAGCTAAGTGACTAGATCCACGAATCTTAGTCTTAGTACGATGTAATCCATCCAAGATCTTTCCATGATCAGTTGTTAAGGTAACAAGAACCTCTGGTCCTTTACCCCCCATGGACATTAAACCAACTGAAGATTCTGGATTGGCTTGAGTGATGGTAGAAAAAATCCAAGAAACGGCATCTGATTGCGCTTCATAACGTGTTGGTGTATAATCTCCATTTCGACTGCTTTCACTGTTATCCACCACAACCATTACTGCTTCGAGAACCATCTTGTCGGATTGGCTGCCGTTTGGCAAATGTGCGAAATCTTTCTTTTGGAAGTTGTATTTGAGTAATGGAGCCGAATTTATGGTAGACGACGATCGTAAGTGGTAAGTATGAGTTAATCTGTTGATGGCGATAAAGAAGTTGATGTTTGTTAAGGTTGCAGGTTGCTCAAGGTAGCTATGGTTTGCGCGTTAATGCTAAAGTACAGCAAGCATCGCTAGCTTCGGAGAGGTGCCAATCCCTGTAACTTCTTCAGAATTGGGGGAGCAAGAGACTTTAGCCACACATCTGTGGCGCTCAGCAAGCGACTTCGATAATGAACGGATAACAATCTACAAAGTGATGATGATGTTTATTCTCAATCAACATCACAACACTCTACACACTACACTCTACACCCACGATACACCATCTCACAGCTTCAATCGTATTCACACAACACAATAATTCAGAAGTAATCGAATCGCAATTGTTCGTACGGATAATTACAGAAATTCGTAAAGTTTCATACATATAATAGCCTACGCGAAATGGCTATCACAACAGGCCAAAAGCAAGCTCTGATGGAGAATTTGCAGTTGGAAAGTGAGGAACTCATCTCTAAAACGCGTCAAATTGTATACTAATTATGCATTTGAATAGTTACTGAACGTGCTAGAAAGCTCAGAGCACAATACAATGTTCAAGCTCAAGGATTAAAAACGCGTATTGAAATTCGCGTCAATCGCATACCTATCTCAATGCGCAAAAAGAACATTGGGGATTTGTTTGAGAAGCACAGCAATACTGGCGCACAAGCAGCGCGTTCGGAAGTGGGACCACCAGTTCCAGCAAAGAACACTCCAAAACACACACAAAAGAAGATTCCAGTGGAGGAGTCAGAAAGTGGTCCAAGTACTCAAGTCACAGCACCATCTCGTACTACCAAAAGGAATAGGTATGTTTTTCCTGCAAAAATCAAGGAACATAAACATATAGTAACAATTCAAAGTGACGAGGCAAGTCTGGACAAAGAAAACAATATTGACAACCCGAAGAAGCGTCAAAAGCCTGTTCCTAATCTGCCTGAACGTACCACTTCTCGTGTTAATATGGACCCAAAACAAATACTTTCACCTAGATCCGCTAACTCCCGAACTTTACCTGCCTCGCCAATAAAACCCGCACCGCCCGTCAAATCCACTACAGAATCTCGTCCGCCTACAAGAGCAGGACGAAAAGTCGCACCACATACGAATCCAGCTGGAGCTGCTACTAGTCGAGCAAGATCCAATACCGCAACTTCGGGTCCAAAGACTACACGAGGAAGAAATGTGAGCAATACTAGTACTGAAACCGTTGTTAAAAAGGCACCTGCTGCAAGACTCAAGAAGGCGGCACCTGCACCTGCACCTGCGCAACCCATACAACCAGCCAGCACTGCTGTTGGAAGAGTGTTGAGAAAGAGAGGCTGAGGTCAATTCAACAGCTGCAATCTCATACATTGTTACACCAAATTCGACTCGTCTTTTGTTCATGAAGCACTGACCCTCAATTGAGAACACTCCTACTCTGGAGTGGGGAACTTCCTCTATGGTGTTGATTAAGAACGTTTTGGGCTGTGACCCCTTTTTAATCAACGCCATAGGGCATATAGAACCTCGATATCGTGGCATGTGGTTTTGAACATTGGGGTTTTCATTTGATGCTATGATTTGGATTTAATGGTTGACAAGGAAATGGAAAATATGACCGCTTGAATCGGAAATGGATAATGATGATTTTTAATTTATCTTTAGCGATTGGAGTAATACGGGGTTCATATTCTATAGGCTTCTCTGGGATATGCATTGGAAGGCGAAAGATTACTGCTTGAGCTTCTCTGGAGTAACAGGAAGGAAGGGATGACTGGCGTTTGATTTTCTGATATCAATAAAAAGTCTTTTATTGTATGCACTTGATGTTACGTAGGGAAATTGGAATTCTCAATGTTCGTAATGTATGCTTGTATGGTCTTGAACCTTCAAAGATGCACATAGATCCATTCTTGATTCAAGCGCGGGGAGCGAAGAGTGGTGGAGGGCTTGTAGGCTTGCCCCCCATGAAAGCTACTTGGATCTCTCGATTGATGATGCCCCGCTAGTCCTACGGGTGTCGCTACAGTGTGAGTAAATTATCTGATGATTAGGATTGAAATGGAGGAGTTCTTCTGTAATTAGCGTGAATATTCCCACCCGCTTATGATAGGAGACAAGCCAAGACACGGATTAAAGCGGCCGCTAGCCCCCTCTACGTAAGCAAAAAAACAGGCGGGAATTGACTACCATTCGAAAAACCTTTAATAACTAAGATCTCTTTTCGATATAATATTAAATAATAAAAACACTTAATATCGATATAAAAAAGACTCAAATTTTCGTTTGCTTTTTTCAAATTTCAATATTTAATTTGAAATGAATTTATAATCTATTAAAAACGTTCTGTAAAAGGATACTCAATTTCCGCCTGTTTTTTCGCTTACGTAGAGGCCCCCTCGGAAAAACTACCCCACCATTACGGTTCTTGAGCTCATCCATCTTAACTCATGGCAAGCGTTTCCCCCTCCAAATACATACAAAAATCATCATTGTAACCAAGAAGATTTCAAAACGAAACACACATAGATTCATAAGAAAATATGGCAGATGTAGAGGAATCCACTGCGCCTGCAGAAATTCAATCAAGAAATGTTGTTTATTGTGGAGGTAAGTTTACAAATGAATGAACGACCCCGCTATCTTGAATTCATGAAGGCTAATCACAGAGAATAGTTTGTTCGTTACCACCTGAGGTAGGCGTAACTCTTATACTTCATGGGGCTTGGGGCTTAACTTGAACAAAGGGATGAGGATACCAAGGACAAGATCATTAACAAAAAGCAATTAGTATTGCGAATACGGCGGCACAGTAAAGAAATGTCAAGAATGGCTCGAGAAGAAATATCCCACCATGTACGAGCGATTATGGTCTGAAGGTATACCCAGCTTCATCTCTTGCTCCTCATGTGCTGCATGCTAAATTTTAACTCCCCTCTTCCTAGATGCCCTCGCAGCAGCAACCTCAACCCTCAGTGTCGATGCCCAAAAACGCGCCGCCAAAGACGCCACCAAAAAAGCCGCCAAAGCCGAAGCTCTCGAAGCCAAGCAAAACGAAACTCTCGCGTCCTCCAAAATCCGCATCAAGCGCGTTGAGCGCAACAAACGCAAATACGTAACCGAAGTCCAGGGACTCGAAGCCTTTGGACTCGAGCTCAAAAAGGTTGCGAAGGAATTCGGATCTAGGTTCGCGACGGGAAGCAGTGTGACGAAGGTAGCAAGCGGAGGACAGGAAATCACGGTGCAGGGCGATGTGAGTGAAGATGTGAGGGAGTTTTTGATGAAGAATTATAAGAATATTCCGAAGAAAAATATTGTGCTTGAGGAGCCGAAGAAGAAGAAGGCGGAACCGGTGGAGGTTTAAAAGGGGGTTGGCGTTGAAAGAAACGAGCGGGTTGGAGCGTGGATTGGGTATGATTGACCGGCTTGGGATTTCGAGGAATACAAATACCATTATGAAATTCGTTTTATGGCATTGAAATATGCACAATCCTGCATTACACTATACAATGTGAGATTTGACAGAAAGGGAGGGAGGGAGGGAGTCGATGTTTCTCACTAGGTAGGTACTAGAAAACCCCGAAAATACGAAACTCGACTCGCTACCTCGAAAATCAATCTCCGATAACATTTGAGACAATGAGACATGAAAGTTTCAATTTGAGTGGAACAATGTCACTCCAACGTCAGAAAAGGAATTTACATAGGTATATCTTGAAGAACAAGAGGCAATCGCTTCTCGTGAATATGACAAACTCAATTTTATGTAAGATTACAACCTACCTACCTAGTAGACTACCTACCTACTATCATACCACTCCTCGGGTTCAGCAAGGCGAAAGTGTAGAACAACGAATAAATGTATGCATGCATGCATGCATGTAATACCACACAGAACCTATCTCAAAAATATTCCTGAAACTAAATCATTATTTCAATTTCAGGTAGTCACGGTATCTAGAAACTATTATATGTCCATGGATGTGTGTCTAATAAGGTATAATCACATTGAACATACACTCATTTCTCTCATTGTTTTGTAATCTTACAAGTCATCTTGTCTCAACCTCACAGAATCTGTATTTAGATCAATTATTGATCCTCAACTATTTAACCTTATATCATTTTGTCTCTTATGTTCTCTTAATCTCTCTTTACCCTCCCTACGTCTTTCATTCTGTTCTGCCGTCTCGCTTATTCTCCTTTTAAATTTGCAGCATTATTACAACCCCACCATAATTCGAGCAACCCCCATCGTCTCTTCAAGGAGCAGCAAAGAAAAGAAATAGCCAAATAATCCATCATATCCCATAGCAACCCAGCCCTTCCATTCCTCCCATTACCCCATTACCCTACCCATATTTTTTCATAACGCCAATCCTGAATCAATACACGGATATCATAACCCCCCATCCATACCATATAATATCGTCGAATCCTAGCCATGCCAACCCAGCTCAATTCGTTTAACCCGACTCACTGTTAAAAGTTGAAGTGGGCCTCTTGATTTGAAAATAAACCCTCTGGGACCAGCCAGCCCATAGAAAACATGATGAAGAAAACTCCCGCTGATTTACGCCATGCTTTGTCCAAGCCAATGTTTAGGCAGTCGAAGTCCGAGAAGATTGTTGTTATGTATAAAAAAGGCCGTGATATGAAAATAAAATATGACACACCCGAAAATTGAAAACTGCTCGAAACATCGCACGGTACTAAAGTCTGGTTTGAAAACCAACTTACTCTATGCTACTTTGGACCGACCTCCGAAGCTTTCGATTATAATTCTTCTTATCATCCACTGATCCCCAGAAGAGTTTGGAAGCTTCCACATTTACCAATGTCCGTGGATCGTATGGTGGTGAAACTTCCTCTAAAGCTTCAATGATAGACTCGATATGAGATTTTGCATCATCGGGGCGTTTGGGGGTATAGCAAGGTGTTCCATCAAGTCCAATCCGGTGATGAAATAATGGTGTCTGAAATTTGGCTCTTGGTTGCTCTTCTGGAAATCTTGGGCTGAAGTAGAGCTTAATATTGAATAGTCCGCCATCTAGATTGGTCATGGGGCGACCGAAATAGGTAATACTCCATACGAAAGGAT